GGCTCCAATGTGGCAGGCCGTTCTGACATATAATCAAAGTACAACCACGCTCCGGTATGGCAAACCATTCTGACTTATAATCAAATCATGTAGTTTTTATTATTTAGTCATTCTAACATAATTAAAACACAGCTCTGATTTTCTAGCAAGCCATTCTGACATATAATCAAAGCTCAACCATGTTCCTGTATGGCAGACCGTTCTGACATATAATCAAAGTCCAACCACGCTCCGGTATGGCTGATCGTTCTGATATATAATCAAAGCACAACCAGGCTCAAATGTGGCAGGCCGTTCTGACATATAATCAAAGCACAACCATGCTTCAGTGTGGCAGATCGTTCTAACATATAATCAAAGCACAAACGCGCTCCTGTTTGGCAGGCCGTTCTGACATATAATCAAAGCACAAACACGCTTCTGTATGGCAGACCGTTCTGACACATAATCAAATCATGTGTTTTTTATTATTTAGTCATTCTAACATAATAAAAATACAGCTCTGATTTTCTGGCAGGCCGTTCTGACATATAGTCAAAGCACAACCACGCTCTTTTATGGCAGACCATTCTGACATATAATCAAAGTACAACCACACTCCTGTATGGCAGACTGTTCTGACACGTACCGGTAATCAAATCATGTATTTTTTATTAATCATTCTAACATATAATTAAAACACAGCTCTGATTATGACAGGCTGTTCTGACATATAATCAAATCATGCCCCTGTTAGTATTTATTATGACAAGTCGGTCTAACATATAACCCAGCTCTATTATTACAGCAGTCTGTTCGGACATACATGCTGTGTCTCAATCATGGGCTGAATCCTCATGAGTATGTAGCCCAGCTGGGCCATGTGGGCTACTTCCTTCTCAGTCCAGATAAGCTGCATAAAACTGCTGTGAAATGAGACTGTCTATAGCTGCTTGACTTAAGTTTGCATGACCGTAGTGATCAATTTCATATTGAACTTAAAATGCGTTAGGACATGTATTTACACATCTTTTTACTGGAAGAATAACTTCACAATTATACATAAAAAACTTTAACAATTTGGGCTTAGCTCCAGTATCATTACTTGTAGTTACATTTTATTTAACATCATTTAGCAGCATAAGTTTTGTCAGCTAAGTTACTAAACTTACATATTAAAAAAAACAAAAATTTTCAGTCC